ACTGGTGAGTGAATGTGTAACTTATTGTACATTTATTTTATGTCATTCATGTGTTCTTGGCTTCAGTAGACAAAGTAGGGAAGAGTATGGAGGGAGGGAGGGTCTGTAAATGCCCCTACAGGTAGAATGGAAATGGGAGAAGGGTAATGTAGTGGAAGAAAAAATATATAAACATTTATTGAGAATTTCAATTATCAGATTGTCCAGACACTGTTATGTGCTTCCTGGTCATTTTTCTGGTTCATTATCACATGAGTTTAATGGAGGTCCTATTATGGTCCACTTTTACAAATGAGGAACTTGAGACTTAAAAAGATTATAAAAACTGGCCTTGGATGAAATAGGAAAAGCTGACATTTGGATCCAGATTACCTGCCTCCAGCATCCCAACGCTTAAGGAAAGGGGTGAAGACTGGAGGGGGATAAAGGGGGCAAATGGGTAGAGAAGTTTATCAGACTTCCCTCTGGGGGGAGCAGGACAGGGAGAAGGGAGGAGACAGAAGAAGGGACTCTGCTCCAGAGGGTAGCAAATGCTTACTTAACAAAAGCACCACCAGCAGAAAGTCCAAATATGCAGAGGGCAATTGTCACAAAGTTGGTGCTTTCTATAACATGCCTACTACTGTACTTTGGTACCCTAAATAATAAAGTCACAGTTGAGTATATTGTACAACTTCATAGTCACATCTTGTATTATCTGCAAGGAGAGGAACAAAAGTGTAGACTAAATTGAGCACTTGGGTCCTGAAAGTAAATGCTATGTAAATGAACCATGTCTAGCCTGGAAGAACTGCTTATATCTGAATTCCGGCCAGATCTTCAGGTACACACTCTGGGGGAAGATAAGAAGTCATCCCTGGTGGGAAGCATGGCAACAATTGGTATCTACTAAGGCATGGCAGAGAGTAGAGAGGAAGTGGATGGACTTCAGTGAAGATCAGAGACCCTTTAGGGATCAAAGATGTTGGACAAATTCCAACTGCTCCCTGGAATGAATCCTGAGAAATTCCATCTGCTCCCAGGCTCTGTACTAACAGCCCTCCTCGACGGGTGATGGTCTCTAAACTCTCTAGCCAGGGGGGAGAACGGTTAAGGACTGGCTTTGGAGATGGAGACAGAAACCACAGATTTAGAATTCAGCTCCACCACCTCTGAAAAGTATGACCTTGCAAAGTCTCTATTTTCTTATCAGTAGAACAGAAGTAATATTAGTGCTTACTTTGCAGAGTTCAGAGGGAAGTTTATGCTAGCTTACCAAAAGCCCAGATATTACCAATATGCCTGTCTTTTATTTCATCACCAACTGTTCACTGCACAGGCTCATCCCTTCTCCCAATTTATAAATCCTGAGAGAAGATACTTTAAAATATATTTGATAACCCTTCCAACATCTAGCAGAGGGCCTTAAACAGAGAAAAGACATATCGAATACTCGTGGTACTGTATTAAAATTGGACAGGTTTTGGAAGAAAACTGCACTGAAGTCTCGGGATGTTAGAATGAGGAGATAAAATTCTATGGAAGGCTAAAACAGAGTATTCATAACCTAAGATGCCAACGCCCCTAATATCCCAGACTTTTAAAAAATGTAGACTAGTTTATTTTCAATGAGTGGAAATGGGCAGCGGGGAGGGGGTGCACATTAAAAATATAACTTTAGCTAAGACTAAGAATTTAAAGGATAAAAACAGAAAACTCAATACACTTTTGTTTGAACCTTGAAAACTCAAGAAAATGTATTGCAAAATGTCTTGGGAAGTGTAAGCTCTAGTATTATCAGAGGGATGCCAATGGCTTTCAGAGAGCTCCTCAAGCCCCATCAGCCCTGGAATAGAGGGAAAGAAGGCTTGAGCGTCCCTACTGAGGATGATGTGCTTTGTCCCGGAGACTTCCGAGCTCAAGGGACTGGTTGTCCTCTCTTAATTCTTTATGCCTTCTGTTTTTAAATTTAAGCATTTTTATTCATTATGTTTTATAGAAAAGTTGTATCTTTTGTTTGTTTTAATCCCACTGTATCCTAATTAGTGATTTTTTCCTAACACACAGTAATTAACCTCTAATCAACATATTCTGGAAAGACTACTGAGTGCAGGCCAGGAATGCTCAAACAATCTGCTTGAAACAGGCTCAACTTGAACACAAACTACATCGAAGGAACTCAACTCATTCCAACAGTCTATAATTGTTCAGTCCGCTCTTCTTTTCTGCTGAAAAGACAAAAATTTTATGCACATCACTCATAGCTTAAAAAGGGGGGGAGGGACAGGGATGAGAGGGAAAAGGGGAGGAAGGGAGGAAAGGAGAGAGGGAAGAGAGAGAGAGAGAGAGAAAGAGCAAGGGAGAGAAAGAGAGAGACAGAGAGGGCGCTAGCACCAGTTGTACCATCGAATAATTAAAACAAAACAGGCTTCTACCTTTCCTGGCTGAGAAACCTGGCAAGTACATCACTGGCTTTTAGTTCTTCAGTAAGCTGTATTGCCATGGAAACTTTCGAAAGATGGGGAGCTTGCACTCGAATCACTCCCTGAGGAACGTCAGCCTGCAAAGCAATAATGACACTGGAACAAAGCTGGCAGCAGCTGGAACATGTAACTCTGTACAATGCATTATATGGTAAGTGTGCTTAACTACTATGCATTTTACTTCACTACATAAAAACCTTAACTACTGTATAATGTAATTTGCTAAATTACATCAAACCTCAAATATCCTCGTAATGGTGATAGGGGAACTTTATAATGCCTGTGTAGTAATGCTTAATTATTTTTAAAGATGTAAAGAATGACAGCAATAACCATTACTGCCATATTAAGTGCTGATTTCTGAGTATTATCTACTAGAGGGTGCTTCTTCATGTAGCAATTTATGAAATTGAATCAGAAAAGTTATTTTGTGTGCTGTTGCAATGTATGCATTTTAAAAATCTATCGCAAGTTCAAAAAAAAATTTTTTTCCTGACAGTATTAAAAACATGAAACATACTTTTCCAATACATTTGTATTGTGTCTGCCCCTCACTTGGCTAATGACCATACACTTTGAATTTCAGTGACAAATTCTAAATCCTTTTTATGTATTTGGAGGTGGGAGTTATCAACGAAATATTTGAGGATTGTAATATCAACATATCAGGTATGGCATTTGAAATATTAGGCTTAATTCCTACACATTCTGCTAAAANAGCAACATCCTCCACAACTAGATTGAAGAACAAAACGACAGCAACTTGTCTGTTCCCCTTCCCCCAATTCCCCAGCGCTGTTCCCCTCCCCGCAATTCCCCAATAAAAATCTTTAAAAAAAAAAAAAAAGTGTTATCTTGCTCTTAAATAAATAAGCTCAACTACTTCCTTTAAGATTTGACATAAGCATATAAAAAAGAAAGAAGTTTTGAAAAACTTCATTAACCCTTCTAGAAGTTATTTCTACTTTGGGGAACTTGCCTTTGTTGAGGTTCAATGTAGATGGGCATTTATACAGAAGGAGTGCAAATAGAGTCTGAGGAAAAAGACCAGACCACTAAACTAATCCATAATACTCATCAACCATCTACAGCATGCTATATTTTACTTCTATTAATTTCCTTTCCCCCGCCAAAGAAATAAATAATAACCATTGGCAATGTCAAAGCAGCATATAGAATATAAAGACAAAAAAATGTGCTTACCAATATTTCCTCCAATTTCATATAAAAAAACTTCCTCTTTCTTGAGAGTTTGGGCAATCCCACTATTAGGGACAAAACAAACTGATTAGTTGTATCATCAGACAGCTTGCAAGTAAATCACTTTAATGTGCTTGGGGAATTCTAGCTTGTGTGGAAAATTCACAACTTAAACACACTGTAATTATCTATGCATTTGTATTTTCCCATCTGTTAAATGTGCCTAATAAGTAATAAAAATGTCACACCTGTAAATTAAAATAAACAAATGGGATCATACATTGGAAGGCAAAATAATAAATCAGTATCTAAATTTGTAAAATTAAAAAGAAAGTAACATAACATTTTAGTTGCCAATAAAATTATTAATATGATCATCTACTTAGCATGGGGCGAAAGGTCCTCATAAAATTATAAAAAGTAATATCTGAAATTGGTTGTTACACAGTAGTCATGGGGATGTAGTGTATGGCATAGGCATATAGTCAATAATATTGTAATAACTATGTATGGTGTCAGATGGGTACTAGATTTATCTGGTGATAGATGGAACAGCGGTTAGGGAACAGGGTAAAAAACAGTGAAGGGATTAAAAAGTACAAATTGGTAGTTACAAAATAGTCATAGAGATGTAAAGTAAACCATAGGGAATACAGTCAATAATATGGTAATAACTATCTATAGTGCCAGGTGGGTACTAAGTCAGGGGGATCATTTCTTAAATTACATAAATGTCTAACCTCTATGCTGTATGCCCAAAATTAATATAAAATAACATTGAATGTCAACTGTAACCAAAAAATTAAAAAGGGGGAAAAGGTAAAAGGGAATAAGAGGTTCAAATTTCCAGATATAGAACAAATGTAATGCACAGCATAGAGAATATAGGCAATAATGTTGTGATAGCATAGTATCGGTTCAGATGCTTGCTGGACTTATCACGGTGATCATTTCTTTAGGTATATAAATGTTGAATAACTATTGCATACACCTAAAACTAGTATAATATTGTGTTAGCTATATTTTATTAAAACTCTCAAAAAAAAAGAGAAATGTTTGCACCTTACGTTTCCCATTGCATTTATTCAATAAGCATTTATCATGAGTTTGCTGTGCTGACAACTCAAATGGTATGCAAGGTGAATGCAAAGAATAGGACATGGTTCATAACCCTTCCTGTGTTGGGGGGTCTAAATGTGCAAGGTACATACACTCAAAGTAGAAGCAAACACTCACCGTGAAGCCTTTACAAGAAGGACCCACTTATGGAGTTACACTCTTCAAAGAATAAACACTTCTAGACATTAGGTTTAAACAATAAAAATTGGTAAAATTTAGTGGTTTTCAAAGCTCTCTGTATACTAATTACCTGGGAAACTTACTAAAAATTCATATCTAGAGCTCTGAAAACTCTGATTTAATGTCTAAATGAGGCCCAAGAATCTGCTTTTCAAATGCTCTATAGTGGATTCTGGTGCTGACCGAAGGCCCTGAAGACATACTCCCTGGAACTGAGAAGAGAAAACCAGGTGTGACTTGTATCCAAACTGTTATGAAAAATACGGTATGGTAGAAGCTTTCCTAACCAACCATGTAATGATTTGCCTGGTCATCCAACTCTATCTGCTCTGCCCTCTGTAGCACACTAGACGCTCAGGGCTGTAAGCGTCCCCACACACACTTAAGGTCCATGTGCTGACTTTGTTCCCAACGTGGTGTATGCTTATTTTTCAAATGAAATAATTCATTATATTTTTATTTATAATATAGTACATAACCCAATAAACTATGAGTATAAAAAGAGTCATTATTCTTATGAAAAGCAAATTGAATGTTTTGGAAGACTAGATTAAAAACAAATCTCATCAGATATTGCTCTTCATTATCTATATTCTTGTTCCACTTTAAAGAAACCTGAAAAAGATTTCCTGGTATATATAAGCTTTTACATAATACTAATCAACAAATCCCTAATTAAAGAAAAGGGAACAGCCTTTATCACAGACTGGTGAGTGATAAATGTAACTGGTGAGTGAATGTGTAACTTATTGTACATTTATTTTATGTCATTCATGTGTTCTTGGCTTCAGTAGACAAAGTAGGGAAGAGTATGGAGGGAGGGAGGTTCTGTAAATGCCCCTACAGGTAGAATGGAAATGGGAGAAGGGTAATGTAGTGGAAGAAAAAATATATAAACATTTATTGAGAATTTCAATTATCAGATTGTCCAGACACTGTTATGTGCTTCCTGGTCATTTTTCTGGTTCATTATCACATGAGTTTAATGGAGGTCCTATTATGGTCCACTTTTACAAATGAGGAACTTGAGACTTAAAAAGATTATAAAAACTGGCCTTGGATGAAATAGGAAAAGCTGACATTTGGATCCAGATTACCTGCCTCCAGCATCCCAAAGCTTAAGGAAAGGGGTGAAGACTGGAGGGGGATAAAAGGGGCAAACGGGTAGAGAAGTTTACCAGACTTCCCTCTGGAGGGAGCAGGACAGGGAGAAGGGAGGAGACAGAAGAAGGGACTCTGCTCCAGAGGGTAGCAAATGCTTACTTAACAAAAGCACCACCAGCAGAAAGTCCAAATATGCAGAGGGCAATTGTCACAAAGTTGGTGCTTTCTATAACATGCCTACTACTGTCCTTTGGTACCCTAAATAATAAAGTCACAGTTGAGTATATTGTACAACTTCATAGTCACATCTTGTATTATCTGCAAGGAGAGGAACAAAAGTGTAGACTAAATTGAGCACTTGGGTCCTGAAAGTAAATGCTATGTAAATGAACCATGTCTAGCCTGGAAGAACTGCTTATATCTGAATTCCGGCCAGATCTTCAGGTACACACTCTGGGGGAAGATAAGAAGTCATCCCTGGTGGGAAGCATGGCAACAATTGGTATCTACTAAGGCATGGCAGAGAGTAGAGAGGAAGTGGATGGACTTCAGTGAAGATCAGAGACCCTTTAGGGATCAAAGATGTTGGA